GCGCCCAGACTATCTCCTTCTTTCTTGAGCGGAGATCTTGCTAGGTAGCCTAGGCAAGCTTCAAACTCTTGATCATTTGGCTTTGGCTTCCTGTACCTCCTGAGGGGAGATGGGAGTTATTATTTTGGTTTGCATTTCTCTAATGATTACTGATGGTCAGCATCTAGTCATCTGCCTTTTACCCATCTGAATATTTTGCTTGAGAAAATGTCTTAAGTCTTCCGCCCCTTTATAAAAGTATTTCATTCTTTTTAAATGGTACTAAGCCACTTTCGTATCTTTGGAGTTAATAAAATTCTTAGGGTTTGCAAAAAAGTCCTTTGAAACATTAGGAATAATTTATTAGGCATGAAAGGATTGATAATCTACGTCGCAAAAGTACTACATATTGTCACACCACTTTTATTAAATAATAGTATTGCTGTTGTAACATTGGCATCAGGAATCATAAATTCCTGTTTTAACTGAAGGGAAAGTAATACTTCTTTCATGAATTGGGACAGGGTAATTATATCTCCTTTTAAATAGCATATCCTGGGTTTAATCCCCAGCACTACACACACACATTATGCACATATGCACAAAAAGATAACATTAAATTTGAAGTTAGGATGTAGTTCAGTGGTAGGTAGAGTACTTGTCTGGCATGTGCAAGGCTGTGAGTGCAAGCCTCCACACCACACACACACACGCACACAAAGGAAACAATACCGTGTACCTATCAGCATATTGGCCTTTATGAAGAAAAATTCCCACTTGAGGTGATTTGCAAGTTGTGCAAAGCCACTTACTTTCTGCTTTTCATTCCTCCCATTAACATTTCTTTCTTTCTGTATTTTAGAGAAGGGCCTACAGGATGTTCAGAGTCTCACTACTAGATAAGACTCCTAGTGAGGGGCTGGCGAGATAGCTCAGTGGTCTAAAGCACCTGCTTAGGCAAGCTTAGGCAAGTATGCAAGGACCTCGGTTTAATCTCCAGCACCACATGCCATCCCAGCCCGCCCCCAGGGTGGGCTGAGCTGACCATTAAAAAAAAAAAGAAAGAAAGAAAAAAGAAAGAAAGGAAACATTAAAAAAAAAGAAAAAGACTCCTAGTGATCCGCCTGTTTACAGCCTCCCAAGAGCTGGGATTACAGGTACATGCTACCACTCCCAGTCTCAGTTGCTGTCTCAGCACGCCCCTGCCAGGGGCTTTAATCCGCTGAGCTATTTGGCCCACCCCTGTTAGCATTTCTAAAGGCTAGAAGTGATTCATCAGGAAATTTAATTTTTTAGCAAGGGAAACCTGATAGATACAAGTTTACTTTTAATTGACTTTGTAATCACCCATACCTTGACCTTCTTTCATTATGTATCTGTATTTGGACAAGTAAAATTGTAGATTTACTGGAATATTAATTATGAGAGATAACCTGCAAAGCACCCAGTTGCTAATTTTTTCTTTCAAAGTATTGTAAGGCTGAAGCATCAAAATGTTTACAAGTTATACTAGGTTAATGTGGATCAGCCTAACAATATTAAGTCCTGTCTCTTAGAGCACATGATATAATCATAGGAAACAGCAGATGGCAATTACAAAGATGGCTGAGGGGTCCTTAATTATCATAAGTCTAAGATGTTATAGCCTTGTGTGGTGAAAGCTCTGTTAAATACCAAACACCTAATGTATATTTTATTATACTATTATACACAGGAAGTCATTTATTATTCAGAGTAGATTCTTTGGGGAGTGTTTTTACTTTATAGATGAGGAACTTGACTGAGAGATTAAAATGTGTATTTTAATTCTAATGCTTAAAATTCTCTTTTCCTAAAAAAAAAAAAAAGAAATTCTCTTTTCCTACAGATGGTATTAACAAAAATTGATAAAACTTCCAAAGGACATCTTTTAAAACAAATACTTCAGATACAAAAATTTGTTAACACAAAAACACAAGGATGTTTTCCTCAGTTGTTTCCTGTAAGGTAAGACTTAAATTGTTAAAACAACTTTATGTACTAAAAACCTTTAATATTAAATGTTTCTGAAATCA